GCGAGTTGACAGGAACCCGGTAACTAAGGGGAAAGCACCTGTTTATATTCACCGCATTGTTCGTTTGCACTGTGGGGTTGCTAATGATCTTTGTTTTATCACGCTGTGGGGGGGGGGTTTGCGAACACGGGGAGTGAAATTCCTAAAGCATCGGCCGACACAACTGGCCCTAAAGGACCAGTCGAACTGATAAACACTATAGGAAGTTTTCAGTCTAAGCAGTTCATCTTTCAGTTTTCGTGTCGTCATTAAGTCTCTGGAAGATATCATTTGTAATTTCCTAGCACTAAAATCCTGGTGGATTGATCTCAGCAGCCTACTAACAATACCTGGACAGCAGGCAATGAGCCACACCCATTAAACGGGAGCTAGTAATACTACGCCGTTAACCAAACCTTGGTAGGTGAAGCAGAGCTCGGACCCGTGACCCGACAGTTGTTAGTCATCTCCTTTAACTAAAGCCACCGATGCCGGTGTTTCCAGATGACTTCACTCACTGAATAACAATCTCCATCATGGCCAGACACACACCGTCGTTCATCAGAATTACCCACATGGTGTTACCACCAAATACGAGCAATCCTACGGAGGCAACGATGACAGAACAAAAAGAGTTGTCGTCCTCAGATCGGAGGGGCCAGATTTCATAGGCGCAGAACAGAAGTGCTCACACCGAAACGTTGTAAACTCGAGCTTTTACAGTCAGACTAACGTCACGATGGATACAAAGGTGGCCCAGATTGATATATGTCACTCAGGCTTTCGATATGTGGTTGAAAATTTCACCATTCACACAACTAATCAGATACATGAACTTTTCGGCTACTTCCAACGGCTCACAACCAAGATTCAACGTAGACACAGGCTCATGCCAATCTCGCAAAAGTACTTTACACTTCTATGGTGCAAAGCACATACCATGCTGACGGAGACTAATCGCCAACTGATTAAGTGCGATTTCAGTAGCCTATGTGTTATCGCACAGTAGGACGATGTCGTCCACATATTCAGGGTTGAATAGCCGCTATCCAGGTAGTAGATATACACCACCAACACGCACCTCCTTCACACCTGTCTCAAGAATGTCATCGATGGCAAAGTTAAAGAGGAATGGAGAAGTCGGGCAACCCTGTCCTGCCCTACTACTTCTTTGGAACAATGGACACAGGTGTTTGTATGCCTTCACTCTACCTGAGGCGTTATTGTGTAGTACTTCAGGATGTGAATACACTTCTCAGGCACGTACCTCTCGAACAGACAATCCCAGAGTACAGCTCTGTCCAACCAATTGAAGGCAGACCTGATGGCATGAAATACAACGATTGTTGGCCTCCAATACGTGTGGCGCTGTTTACGTATCTGGAGGAGGGTAAACACGTGATCAATGCATCCACGACGTGAATGAAAGGCGGGCTGACCCTCCTGAGTCATTTTCTCACGTGTTTTGCAACTTCAGCAAAGTATGATGGCCGCCAATATTTCCGATGCTGCTGGTAACAGACTAATACCACGATGATTGTCACACACACTATGTAGACCCTTCTCAAAGATTAGCACAACAATTGTAGTGGGCGCTGCTGATCAGAATGGATACAAGTAGTATATGTTGAGAGGGTGGTAGAAATCATAGGGAATTACCAACAATGGGTAGAGATTCCGCCCAGAGAAACGCAAGAGACAATGTGGCGTATTAACAGCAAATCAAGATGGAAGTAGAAGGGGAAATGAAGCAGATTGTCCAAATGACTGTCTTAGTAGAAAGTGTACAATATTTGATGACTACTGTACAAGATGTCAATAGCAAACATTACTTCCTTCGTCTCCTTGTCGCTTCCTACACAATGACCTTATTCTAGAGTAATGGAACACTGTCTGTAAACACTCTAGCCAGTTCCCTGATCAGAGTCGTTTCTCTATCGTCAAGAAGATTCGGGGTAAAGTTGTGTGGGCTGACAGTTCTGGAGCTGTGGGCCAGCTAAATTGCTTTTCGAAGTGCTCCACCCAGCATTTCAGGCGTCGGGGTAACATTTACCTCGCCGACCGTCTCAATGACACATGGCTTCTTGCTCCCATTGGCTCGAATGAGCTGAAACAGCTTCCGACTATTGCCAGATCCAGCTGCTGCTTCCATTTCACTCGCGCATTCTTAACCCCAAGCCTTACGGTCCCTGTGTAAGGGTTTTGTAATCTTTAACCTAAAGACACATGCGAACCACTGTACTCGCTATCCGCCGGAATCGTCGCAGTAATCACATGGACAAACCAATCAGTTTAAGATGATTTACTTGCGTAGACTACGTTTACAATCGTACAGTTTTAAAAATGATGTCACTGAGAAGAAATATTTGTGTTATGTAGTGTTAACTGTTTAATGCTAATTGTTAGAACTCTTGAAAAATAAAATGACAAACAAAATAAAAACTACTTTGATTCGATGATTGACTTTCATAATATTTGCCTGGAAATTAGTTTTATAACACATTTACAAATATGCTAATTCTCTTCTTTATACCATTTGTTCATGACACATATATGTATGATTGAAACACTGATCACTTTCGTTGTTTCCTCATCTCCATTATTTTTATTATTTTTGGTCTTTATTAATTGTATTATCGAATATCCTACTTACATATTCATGATTTGATTGAATCTTTTGATACATTTCGCTCAATGTCGCACGAACTTCAGGGAGAATAGGTACACGAACTTTGGGTGCGTATACATCTTCAGCGTCTAGGACAGGTATTTGATGGGTGTTTCAAGTGCTTTACGCAAGTTGTTGATTTCAGTCACATCACATAAAACTGAAAGTATAAAAGAGAAAACAAAGCAATAGTTTAAGTGAAACTCATTGACAGCAGTATGTATTCCATTTAACCAAATGTTTATAGAATACTGCATCACTGCACTACCCAGTGGTTCGCCCTCTTTTACGATATAACTGTGAAACATGGCCATTAAAGGCAAAAGACATGAGGCTTTAGGTGTTTGGCAATTGTTGATTTCGTAGCATCGGCCGTGAGTTGGGGTGCCAACATGTCACTAACGTTGAGCTTTAGGTAAAGAGGAAAGTTAGCTGATGAGACTGTGCAACTTGCATTGACTCTGATGGCGCGAACATGGGTTACGCTGTCTGTTCCGTCATGAAATGTTAGCCAAAGTACATTCATGCTGGAAAAAGGTCAGAAGTGACCGGATTAAAAAACGGCACCAGTCCATGATATGTGCAACTGTACTTTAGTTAACCGTCCCCCATCATTCTACTTCTGTTCATTTTTTTTCTTGTAGTTGATGTGAATTGTGGCAATTTGAACCATTGCACCTTTACTCCAAAGTCCCACAATGGATCTTTTGTCTCTGTTCGATGTTGTTTGACACGACTATATCAACGAACCAGTGATGAATGAGTATTGAAACTGGATAACGAAGCTGATGGCATTAAAATGGTCAGTTTCTACACTAGCCTCACATTCAGTGCAACAGCAGATTCTTCGACAGAATTGTAACCAACTTTCAGAAATATTTGTCATTTCCGATTTGACCCGATTTCTCAATATCTCTGGTTGACAGACAGATAATATCAATATGGTACCTGGCATTATTGAGTAACAGTTTACGTTGCAATCACCACATCGAGCGAGAATGTATGAAGTTGAAAGATAGACAAATAAGGAACGACAGTTACAATTGGTTGGAGGGCAAGGAGTAATCAAAAAATACCTGAATTTAGTATGACGATTAGGATGAGGATGGTGTATCTGCGTATACCTGCGTCACTGAGATCAATTCCCAGTCACGTCATCTAGAGTCGCTGACCTCCGATTTCGGTTACCATGATCACCTCAAACAGGAAGTCTGCACTCCCTTACATGGCTCAGATCAATAGTCAAAGATTTCATAAACTGATGTCATGATCTAGTCTAACTGCCCCTAACGTTTTTCCAGCCTCAACCTGTTTCAGCTAGCTTCAGCGACGAGGCAGACAGTGAATAACCATATGTAACATGTGTCTGAGCTACCTGAGTCCGTGATGAAAGTTCACGATCTCAACCATTGACTTTTCTATTCTCTCTAAAACTCCACACTGACATTTACGTTACTTACATCTACGTGACTTCATGATATGGAAAAAATAAAATGAAGCTAATTATTAATTAGGAACAAAACCAGAGGACGATATTATTATTTATTATTAGTCCCTTGGGTTCCGAGTGGAACATAGGGCTTCAGTAGCACGCCTCCAGTGACCTCTGTTCTCTGAGATCTTTTGAACCTGGTTCCACGACAGCCCAGAAGCTCTCATTTCCTCCTCGCATGACCTCCTCCATGTCACCCTCGGACGTCCAACTCGTCGCTTCCCATAGGGATTCCACTCGAGGGCCTGACGCGTGATGTCCTCAGTCGGCCTTCTCAGTGCATGCCCAATCCATCTCCACTTCTTCCTGCATATTTGTTGCGTGATAGGTTCTTGGTTGCTTCGTTCCCAGAGTTCCTTGTTGCTTATTTTTTCTGGCCATCTGATCTTCAGCAGCGAGCGTAAGCAGTTGTTGATGAATGTCTGTAGTTTATTGGAAATGCCTTTCGTGACGCGCCAAGTCTCTGAGCCATACAAGAGCACTGACTTGACGTTGGTGTTGAAAATCCGTATCTTGTTCCGCATGCTGAGTGCAGAAGATCTCCACACTGGTTTTCAGGCTAATGAACGCCTGTCTTGCTTTTCCGATTCTCACTTTGACGTCCTCGTCCGTCCCGCCTGTAGTTAGAGGACGATAACCTTGCTATAATATTTCATTCGGTTATATTGATATAACTTGCATATTTAGATGTAAATTACAAATGACTCTGGGTAGTGACTGTTAAAATTCAAATTATTATATAAGCCAAGTGATAAGCATGAGAAGTATATTTCATTTCAAATTATATGCATATCTAATAGTGAAGATGAGTTTCAAGAGGTTGACAATTTATGAATCGAACTCAACTTCTCGAATCAAAAATTAAGTGTACGAAGGTATAGCTTCTTTTGGATCCACAGTGAAAAAAAGTGAAAATTGAAACTTCTTCGCATTAATGTACACATCATCATTATCCAATGATAACTTGAAACGATAGGCAACAAGAAAACTACACAGAGTATCTGCAATTCTTGATACTCTATGCTTACTGGGGAAAAAAAACCACTTGCCTTAAATATCGGTTTTCCGCTTGAACTGAATTCGACTTCTTTTGCGCCAACTTCAATACCCAAATTAGTTGCCGCATCCAAATCCGGTATTTGTTTAACTGACGTACCAGGGACAGTGACCAAACCTACGTGATCGAAAAACTTAGTGACTACATCGCCTACGGGAGTAAGTGAACATCTTTAGAAAGTAATGAAGGCTAACAATAAATTACCCATATCGTTTAATGACTGCACCCATACGTTGACGTTCCAAACTGACTTGTTTAGCTCGAGACTCTATTATCACAAATAAACCGCCCGGAGCCCTTATTTCAATTAAATATGGATCAGTGACACAGTCTTCATTCAATTGTTTTCCTAACGTGGCAAGTGGGATAGATTTTGATTTAGCTTCAGCTAAAACTGCAGCTAATCCTGAATTTAGTTTTGGATCACGAATACCACCACCCTCTATGTTTGATCTTTTTTCAAGAATGATTATTTTCTCACCTCGAATCGCTTTATGAATAGCCTTAATGTAATATAGTGAATTTTTTGACTTTTCACGGTCACCAGCTTCTTTAATATGCTTTACATTTTGCCAGTGAGCATGCCCAGCATATCGTTTAGTTTGCATCGATACAAAATCACCCATAGGATAGATTGAAACTCTAATAAAAGACTGGTTAGCATGCTTGGAGAACAATATTCGACACATAAGTAGACCAAATTTAGTTTGATTCATTTTGTGGCGATAATTGTTTCTTTGTTTCTGGTATTCTCATTTAATAAAGAAATATACACTGAAGAGAGCAACTTTATCACAACGTAAATACTTGATCTACAAGAAATCGAAGACAGAAAACTTTCAATAGATACAGAATGTTTTAATTCAGCTAAATGGGAAAGAAATATCTAAAATTCATATTTGCCACTTTGATAACATGGTTACCTTTGCTTCCTGTATCAAACTGACATGGTTGTACTTTCAAAATCCTACATGGAGAGCTATGAGATGAAGTGTGTCTAACGTCATGGTAAAAAAAAAATTTGCTCTGTGATGGGTGTTACAAAAACAGACTGAACTCCATGTTAATCTGTTTTTCGGATACTTCATGCAGTGAAACACCATTATTTACTGGCAATCGATGAATATGCACGATTACAAGAGGTTCGATCGACTTCTGTCAAATTATGCTACATATGACCCCCGCAAGATATACAGCTGTAGGCTAAAGTTCGAGTGTGTTGTTCAGCAGTATACTCTTCTGTCACATGCCCGTGAAATAACAATTAAAGGCAACGGATGTAAGAACCTCGAGGTGTTTGGCCACTGCTACCTTCGCAGTATTGTTTCCATGTCGTGGAACTACTACTTCAGTGATAAAGAGGTAGGTGTATAATCTTAGTTAAAAATAGTAAGTCAGGTGATGAGGTTGTAAACTTCCAGCTACTGAGATAGCTGATGTATGTTACATGAGACCATCCACCGCCTATCTCGATGTACGTTAGCCGAAGTAGTACTGTATCGGAAGATTACGTGTGACTAGATCAAGAAGTGCCACCGAAATCGAAATCCACTCAGAAACCTTGAGTACAATCGTGCTACCAGCCATATCTATTGCGTAAGGGCTAATGATACCACCTGGTTTCCAAAACCGCGGTAAGGAGTACCGAGTTCGTAACTGCAACCCATTGGTTCGAATGCCTAAACCAATGAGTGATACTTCCGTTGGTATACAATGTCTATGACTTGGTCTCATCCATGCAGAAGAATGTAAGCTTCTTAACTGGAGTCCTCGATAAAATACGAACCAATAGTTGAAGACTCTTGGTGTTGTGACTCAAAATAGATCACAATAGCGAAGATGCGTTTACTCCTTGAGGTCTTCTAAAGTTTGAATATTTTCGCTGGCCTTCATTTTCAAACTGTTTCACCTCCCATACACTTGATTATTTTGATATTACTTTTTCTACCCAGTTGCCTTTTACATGCAGCTGAGAATTGTGGCAAATTGAACCAATGCATTTGTGTGCAATGTTCTACGTTGGTTTTGTCTGTCTAAGATCCATATAACAAAAAAGAGCAATAATAGAAGAGAAATGCAACACGACGATTGGAATGAAAATGGAGTTGTGGTGTAAATTACTACACTATGATGGGGGGGGGGGGTCTGAGGGTGAAGTCGTAATACTCCTAGATGGATGGAGTGTGACAGCAGCAAGACGTTTCGCTTGGATGACCATCAGTGCCGTGCTGATGCTGCCTTCTCAGTGGAACGGGGGGCGGGGGTTAGAAAAGGTCAGCCCCAAAAATAAAACACTCCACCATACCCCACGGTCTGCCGGACCGGTGTTGGTTCATCTGTCGTTTCCTTTCGACCATCCGGCCCCAAAAATACAAAATAATCATACACAAAAGGCTGCGTGTAACAGACCTCAAGCAGATGTTTGATGGACTCTGCGGTCACACAAATCTCTTCCAGGTAGGTGCCTTAAGGCAGGGCAGCCAGAAAGTGTCAACCGCCCTCACAACTCGATCAGCACTCAAGTTTCCTCAGACGGCTATCCACATCATCACCTTCCTTCACGTCTCAATTAACGACACCACATCATCATCAATTTCTCCTAGCTCTGCAGCCTTCGACAACGATCTGAGTCCACAGAACAGCATCCTTGGTCTCCTTAAACCACGCTCCGAAATTACATAGTGGAGCCTTCAATGTCCGCACCCTCCATCAAGCTGGTCAACAGGCTTCGTTGGCAAAGACTCTAGCAACTCGGGCCATGGATATGTGCTGTGTTTGTGAGACACGCATACAGGACCCAAGTGCGGTTATTCACCTGACCTCTCCTGGACAATCTGATGAATCCGCAAAATTCACCCTTTTAGTTTCTGGAGATTCAATAACCAGCTCTCGTGGTCTTGCAGGTGTAGGCATCGTATTAAGTACTAGAGTAGAAAACTCACTACTAGACTGGATCCCGGTTGATAGTCGCCTCTGCGCTATCCGACTGAACGGCACGGTAAGAACTAAAAGGAACAGGGGGACTCGCCGTTGTCTCTTTGTAATCTCTGCTTACGCACCCATTGACTGTGTTTCGGATGAAGTGAAGGACGAGTTCTACCGTACACTGTCTAGCCTCCTCTCGAAAGCCAAACGTTCGGACGTGGTGGTTGTTGCAGGTGACTTCAACGCGCATCGCAGGTGAGTAGACTGAGTGAAGCAGAAAGGCACTTAGGTAACACTTTCCGAATCCCAGCTGAACGAACAGATAACCGCCTGTTTGTAGCTAGCACAAATTTCAGACATAAAGAAAGACACTGTCTGACGTGGCATCCAGCGAGCTCAACTCAGCGATGGACACAGATAGACCATATTGCTATTAGTCATCACTGGAGAGGATCGGTGGAAGACTGTCACTCCTTCTGGAGTACGTGTTTGGATAGCGATCACGCGTTGGTCCGAACGCATATATGCCTGCGTCTCAATGGATGTAAGAAATATTTGGCAACAAAACCACTACGAGTGCTGCTGGACAACGAAAACACCAAAGCCGTGTTCAGTGAGAAGTTGGCTAGGCAGTTATCGGAACAAAAGACTGCCACCCATCAAGAAGAAGCTTGGTGCCTTCTTCAGTCTGCTGTAAAAGCAGCACTGAATACTGTAACTGACTCCAAAATAGTGGCTAAAAAGAGCCAGTGGATGTCAACAGCTTCTTCCGAACTAATGGATGCACGTGAACGCATCCCTGAAGGCTCTGAGTACAATGAAGAGCGAGTGCTACTTAAAAGTAGACTGGTGAAAAGTCTGCGCAACGATCGCGAACAGTGGTGGGCAGTCAAGGCTAAAGAGACGGATGAAAAAGGCACTAGACAGTTATTTAGACTTATTAAGGAGACTGGGGGAAAGACCAACAACAGTTAGTGAGACTATAGCGGAGAAGGACGGATCTGCGATTCAATGGCAGGGGAGACGACTGGAACGATGGGCAGAACACTTCGAGGAACAGTTTAACTGGCCCTCAGCCACCATTGCGTTGCCCGCTATCCAGTCGAATCCTGAATGGAACATTGAGATAGGGGCCCCCAACACTTGCAGAAGTCGAGAAAGCGGTAGGTAACTTGAAACGAGGAAGGGCAGCAGGACCGGACAGACTAACTCCTGAGGTATGCAAGGATGGTGGTAAGGTGCACTTAGTCAGGTTAACGGAAGTGTTAACCAGTATATGGGAATCAAATACGATCCCCTCTGACTGGTCAGAATCACTGATTATTCCAGTCTTCAAGAAAGGTGAGAAGTCCTCTCGTGATAACTACAGAAAAATCAGCCTGACGAACATAGTGACCACGACCCTAAATTCTATAATTCTTCGACACCTGAGTGGAGCTCGCGAACATCAAGCCCCAGAAAACCAGGGTGGCTTTAGACCCAGCTGCGGGTCTACCAACCTTATATTCACACTCCGCCAGGTCCCGGAACACAGGCACGCTTACCGACGCCCAACAATAGCTGTATTTCTCGACCTGAAGGCGGCGGCATCCGACTCCATTCATCGAGAAGTCTTATGGCAATGTCTGTCACTGAAATGCATGCCGAGTAAGTACATCACCTTATTGAAGGCTCTCTACTCGAACACTTGTGGGCCAGTTAGAGCCTATGGTGAGTTGTCCAGGGAGCTATACTCATCGAGTGGTGTCCGTCAACGGTGCCCACTGTCTCTATTCTTATTCAATTTTATCATAGATATTCTTATGGAGGTCTCCCTCTCGTCACCTGGTTACACAGAGGTTGACCTGATCACAGGAGAATTTTCGTTAGACCTAGATATATGCAGATGACATGCCATAGCCTTGTTAAGTGAATACGCCGACAAGATGCAGAGTCTTCTGGACAGTTTGAGAATGTTTGGGATGCAGTTCTCACCACCCAAATGCAAATTGTCGCTTCAGGATTGGTCTTCAGCGGTGCCACGGCTGACGATAGGGAGTGTAGTGGTTGAGTGTGTCGACCACTTCAAGTACCTGAGAAGTGGGATCAACCCTACCCTGGTAGGTCAGTGGCCAATGAAATTTCCGCACCGATACAGAAGGCTCGGCTGCCTCCCGCCAACTTACACCACCTGTGGCGCCGCCGTGATATCCGATTGTCTATTAAGAGTCGCGTGTACTGGACAGCAGTCGGCTCCCTTCTACTCTATGACTGTATAACATGGCCATTGAAGGTGGAAGACATGAGAAGGCTTCAGGTGTTTGACCACCACCGTTGCCTTCGTAGTATAGGCAGTAACGCAGAAGCCAGGCGTAGAGTTTTAGGGAGAAGAGGTAGGTCAGTTGATGAGGTTGTGAACCTTCATCGACTGAGATGTTTGGGACAAGTGTTACGTACGCCTGGTTACCGTCTGCCTCGTCGCATAATGTTGGCCGAAGCAGGTTCAGGTTGGAAAAAGGCTCGAGGCGGCCAGACCAAAACACAGCATCAATGTATGAAGTGTTTGACTGTTTGTTTAGGCCATGTGGGGCGACTCAGACTAGCTGGTCGGGGTCTGTGGGACAAAAGGAAACAGTAGTTGGAGACTCTAGGTAGTGGATTATGTCTCAGAACCGAAGTCAGTGGCGCAGATATAAACACACCGTAGCCTCATCTTAACGACGTTATGCCGAATCTTCCCATTTTCTCGTCGTTCCTTTCTCTTTTTTCGTACTTTATATTTCTCTTGACTGGATTTTCTTATCTTTATCTTGCACCTCACTGCCTTTTTACTTGATGTACTGATATGAGGTGTGACAACTCGGACTGTTACGCAGTAATGGCTGGTCCTATGTTGATATTGACGACGTTCGACGCTACTCAGACCGATACTTACTCATATCGCCTACAGTTTCCCAACATTGCTTTTGGTGTCATGAGGACTGAAACTGAGAAGTTTACATTTCTCTACACAGCTGAAACCAATTGTCAGAATTTTTCTGGACCGATAACACGTCTCATTTAAATGAATAGCTACATTTGGGTCCCGTACGCTTGCGGACCTAATAGCGCGTGCTTATGGCATTTGTTATGAGCTTCAGGTTTTTTGGCCGTAATCTTCAGATTACCGCGAACGTACTGTAGTACACTGCCATTAGGGACTGCATACTGTCAGCCTTACGATTAAAGTATCGTGGGAGTAGCATGAGCATATTTTATAAGCTGCGCTTTTCCAACAGAAACTTGGTTAAGAGGTTATCTCCTTGAACAAACCGTCACCACCAAACTAACGTAGGGTGTTTTTACATCTTCTACTCTAGATCGGAAGCTAATCCAGCACTGGTTGCCTGTTAAATATTATTGTTTCTAGAAGTGCTATTATTAACATCACCTGGATGCAGTAGACATTTCGTTTGAATATATTTTCTGGTAGTTAACTTTCTGAGAATCCCACACGGTATAAAACATATTGTTTGGGAAAAAGCGATTACTATCGCTTTTATTATTATTATTACGTCAGCTAATGCTGTAATACAGAGGTTGTACAAATTAGTAGTACTGCAGAAGTATAAGGAGTGCCAACTGACTTACTTTCTTAGACCTTAGAACTACTCTTTTCCAAGACTTAAGTAACGTCGAAACACGTTTAATTTCACCTCCTATTTCACAGCCTTAAAACCCAATAATTCATTTAAAACCTACAAGTTAGGAAAGATCTCAGTTCGTAATTCAGGGACTTTTGGAACCACTACATATTCCAACGAAGTCAAATTAAACGGTCGATGACTCAGAGGAGAGCTGTGAGTCATAAAAAGTGAAATAATGGAAATCAGTTGTCATTTTGCAGACGTCCTGAACATAAGCCAGCTAATTATGATTACTCTTAAAGGATAAAGCTGACAGAAGAAAAGCCATAAAGTAGACCTTGTGTGAAATTTCAACAACAACCTCCCCTTTATAACATGATTGTAACGTTACCTTTCCAAAATGCGTTTCCCATCGTTGATCACTCGGTGGGAGAAACACCAAGTTACTTCGATCATCGTTTTTGGTAATTTTTCAGTTACCTAGGGATAACCGATTTGAAAAGGAGATTAATTTAAAAATGTCAGTACAGAAGTCACTAATATTGGGAGAGTCCAGTACGAGGTAGCTCCCATTCCAACAGAGACAACGGAAACAAATTCAGTCGATCTAGTCATTTGTCATTGGTCAGATTGGAAGGGTTAGTCACAAGCCTAGTCTCTACCCTGTAGGCATGTTCCAACCATGTTCCCTTTTAGGCACTTACCGGCTGCCTGAATGCAGTATTCCAGGTGAGGTCCGACGTATAAAGAGTACTGTTCCGAACATATTATGACCAAGACTTTTGAGAGCACTGCACATGAAACATAACACAGAATAATTTCTCTGGAGCTGGATAGCAGTGATCAGATATTTTCAGACCAAGGCTTTGGATGATACACATGTATTTTACTTGTGAAACTAGTAGTAGTAGCAGTAGTGGTGTGCTGCTTTTAGAATTGTTCTGGTGCGGACTTGACAGACGCAAAGACCAATCACTAACTGTTCAAACTCGTTATATACCCACGAATACGGGGCCACGAAATAAAGCAATAGGGTAGTGGGATGGGTTAGTATATTTGCGAGGTGGTGCCAAGATACAAATACGTTCTAACTAACTGGCTAGAGGGTCGAATACGAGCGGTGCAACGCAACACGACAGCGTGCCAAATGGCGGGGATGCTTGACCGGGTGCCCTCAGCTTGGCGAGTCCAGTTAAACTATGAAGGTAAGCATCAGTGTTGAATCTCGTCAAACCCTAAGCCATCTATTCTGGAGAATCGTGTGTGACGCTGCACCGTCAACTCAACGCTGGAAACAATTGCTGTGGCCAGTGTGGATTATTTCACTTTCACTTCTGTCAGTTTTCAAGCAGCAACGTTTGAAACAGTTTATCATATCACGCAAACCCCCTTGGAGCTTACGCTGATCAGTACCAGTACTTTCAGTACTTTCCAGACTTTAGGATCAACGGTGAATGAGAGCATTGAGAAGCCAAGCATTTGTGCTAATTCTCTGATGCATGGCAAGAAAAGGAAGGGACTCAGGATCGTTCATTGAGACACTGCCCATCACAACCTTCCATCTAGTGAGAATCCCGTTTCCCCTCAACCTTTCCCTGTACTCGCAAGAAACTGCCTTGTCTGGGCTTGAAGCAAAGCATCAAGCCTGAGAGAGGGGAGACTTCCCGTTAGTGTCTAATGAGACAGAGGATAACAACCATTCGTGCGAACAGTCAGGAAATATGATTTTCTAGGGTTGAGATTACCAATCGGCTGAAAGACTGCTCGTTCTGATATTTGCATCGTGTTCGTTGACGGGAAAGTGCTGATACTACCTCTGAACGTGTCACCACGTCGACCTAGGAAGAAGACTTCACTGAAGCGTCTCGATAATCACTCGGCTTTTTATGCTGCCCGTTCATCTCATCTTTCACCTGCGGCCCAAGAAGGAATCGATTACCCCGCCTATCTGGGTTTTGGCAGCCGGGCAGCACAGTAGGCCGCCACACAGTAGATACGGCTGACTACTAACCGCATGAGTGTGCACAGGTTTCATGAGTGGAAGGGGGGATTCCATCACCTATCTATCCTCCTTCAAAAGAATGGCAACAGCCTTTTAGAGAAACTAAGTTTTGCATTAATGGTATTCGAAACCACTTCATCAAAATTGGCCTTAAAGTGGTCATTCATATATTTCCGGCCCACTTTCTAAGCACGAGTTCCGTAAAAGTATGCTCATCAAACTGTGAGGGGCCACGTGGAGACTCGTGTGCAGTCGATAATGGGTGAATGGACCTTTTACCTCTTCGAATATGGTTCACTATCTACCCCATGCCCTCCCGATATGGGTCCTCAAAGACGCCTTAATCTTTGCTGACTGCCTGGAAACCTCGGCTTGTCACATTAGGTCTTAGAGGCGCAGAGTTGTTGTTTTCAAATGAGGAGAAGTACAGTAGATCCACAATATCCTAATCTTTGTTAATTAAAATCGAATCTAATGACAGCAGTTTGTGTTCTAAACCATGACAGGTAGCGCAAATCACGTTTTGAGCTGAATCAGATTTTGGAGCCATTAAAAGTAGGTCCTTCACAGATCAACTTCCGGATGCTGGAATCGTAAGCTCCGTCCAGTTCATATGTGGAGCTTTCAACTCCTTAACTAGTAGACGTCAACTGCTTGTACTCAATCAGCACAAAGTTATTAGCGAAGCGAGATGGGATAAGGCTATCACCCTAATAGGAGAAGCAACCTACATTGGCTTCAACTTATAAGTGTCACCTGGCATGTCCCGTATTCATGTAGAAGTCATCAGTGACATAAAATAGCATACCTGTACCTTGAAACCCACAACCCTAACAGCAGAATCCCCCAAGAGAGGCGCAGTACAACCCCAATCCCCTGTACGGCATGTTTTGGTGGCCGCCACTACATCGGGACCGAGCTGATACACCAAAACCTCAGCCATAGCATTTTATTCCCTGTATTGTGGACAGTAGTGCAGACTAAGCCCAAAGTACTTGGGGGTCCCAAAAGCTCAAACCTCCCGGGTCCAAAGTTATCCTATCCATTCTCTCTTCAGGCTTTTGGTCTTCGAAGACTTCTCTTCCTCCATCTGCCCCTCGAGAGTTCGATTTGATCACTTTCAGATGTCTGAATTGGGTAACTTCGATGCGCTATTCAGAAACCAATCACTCCCCCGTTTTCTACCTGGGACAAACTTCAGAATCCTCCATTCATCGGGCATCCACCCCTTTCCCATTGTTGGACCCGGGTTTGTACGTGATGCTCAAGACGGTTTATCTGGGTACTTGACCAGGGCCAAACGTGAAACCCGTGACATTATAAGAACGCGTTAATCGTAAGAACTTCGGTGGGCAAGTGAAGAGGATTGACCTGAACAACCACTTTAAGATTCGTTCATGGACTAATAAAAGTTAATGGTGAAGACCAAGAATACAAATAGAAACGGCCAAAGTTCACGACTGAGTCTGCCGGGCACTACATCCTGACCCAACTACTTTGGAAATATGTACTCCAAAAATATTTCCGTTAGGATAAATCTGGTGGTTAACTCAACCGACCGAAGACCACCTTTGTGATTCATTTAAGCGTCTTCCTTCACCGACTCTTCCACACTTAAAGGAGAGCACAAAACATATCCAGCCGCTCTTGCCAGCGTTGGACTGATCACTCAAAGCGGTGGACCATGTAGACGAAAGACTGTTTATGAGAAGTTGGTTGTGTTGTGTAACCGCCAATGTGACATCAGCTATATATCAGGCTAGTGTTCATACTGTCATTAGGCTCACAAGGGATGAAGCAAAAGTCGGTGACACGATTCAGAGATTTGCGTTGCGAAGCAAGAAATGCAAATAATAATATTTATGCTAAGCACCAAATGTGTGAAATAAATCTTCGATGCCAAATTCACCTGTGTTTCGGTCAGTAAAATGATGACAAACTGAAATTTACACTGCAGCATTCGCTCATTTAGCCGCTACATTCTCTTCATAGTTTGACTTCGGGATCGCGGGAGGACAACAAACTGGCTCCACACCAAGATGCAGTGTTCCCATGAGCGTTATTTCCGCAGGCCATGTATGCATGACGAATGTCACCATTCTGCTAGTTTACCTCATGATGAATTGTTTCAAATGCAACACAGTCGTCACGTTACCGACCTTCCTGTCTCTAGAAGCCGGAAGTTATGCGGTCTCCTAAACCGAAACCAGCAACAGTTAACGTAAACAAGGAAAATCTGCGTTGCTGCTACCACTTATTAAAAGTATCACTCAAATTCGTTAGCGTTGATCTTGTAACCAAAGCACATGGCTTACAGGAAGGCATGATATTAAACGGTCCTGTGGTGGATGCCGAAAAACACTACGTCCATCCAGTCTTTGGCATCCAGATATCGGGGACGTAGTAGGTCACGCTGCCTATCATATAAGAACGGAATTATTGTGATCCCTTCAACTAACCGTGGTAGTGTAGTGTGCCTTCCTCGACTAAAGTCGATAGGATATTGGGTGTTAGCTACTTATGTACCGCTAAATTACTTAGTAGCTGTCCCACTAAAGTCATCAAATCCCACTTAGCCGCCCTGTCTACTTGAAAGTTTTCCGGTTACCATTATTCGCAAGAAAGCTGCAGACATGTCGTTACTCAATTCTAGCAGGATAAAATGAATGGGAATTATGTTGCCAAAGCGTTTTTCTAGGTGATCCCCAAAAAAGGAACGCAGAAGTATCCCACTAATAACTTGTAGTGCTCAGCAAACTTGGTTATGATTTCTGTCTGTTGTAAACTTCAAGTTCATCATTGACTGGAACTCAGTGATGAATAACGTCCAATTTACTCGAAGAATTTCGACCTCTGGACTTGCCAACTAAAATGTTTGGAATGAACACATTATACTTCTACCACTACCTTTTTATTTGCTACTTTGTGGTTGTCCAAAACAAATTGTTCGAAGCGTTAGCCCGTGGGTCCAACAAACTCGCCAGCCGATCGAGGCAAGGAGTCTATGCCACTCTCAAAGTGCATGGTTTTTGTCCAGTGCTATGGTCTAGACGTTAGTGTCGACCAAATTTTACCCATTTTA